GATCTTCGGGATCATCTACAATACTGGAGATTGAGTCGATTCCCCTTTGGACGCATCTCTCTGGAGTCAAGTTTGATCTTCGGACTAAGGAAGGTCTAAGCTTGGCCGCTGGTTTAGTATGGGGAACCTATTGAAACTGATGACTATACCAAGAATCTCACTGATCTTAACATTGCGCATGTTAAGGTTCAAGCTGACCTTACTAAGCCTCTACCTTCATCAGGAGAACTTGTACGTCAGAGTGGAGAAATCATTTCGATCGATATTGAATACCCTTGGGTTCCACCCTCTTGTACCCATTGTAGTCGCATTGGTCATATTCTAAAGGACTGCATCTACTCTCCTCCACCCTCACTGGATCCTAAACAAACTGAAGGCTGCAATGCTCAAGTCACAGTTCTAGATCCTCCTGACACTGATGAAGACCTTGCAGAATCGGTTGAACTGTCAATCACAGAAAAAGTGGCTACACCAGACACTGCTATGAAGATTGACCCAATAGAAACTACTTGTCCTCCTGATTCAACTCCGGACCCTCCTGACCATGATCTTGATGAAACTGCAGCTCTTGATGATCAGTTACCAGTTTCAGCCTCTCCCACACCTTCCTTATCACCTTAGATCACTAATCCCTCCCCTCTCGAAACACAAAACAACTCCCAACCTTTTTCTCCCCCCTCACAAACCATAGGTTTTTCCTCTTCTCCCTCAAAAGCCAACTTTGTTTTTGGAATCCCTGCTACATATGCGCCTTCTTTTGGCTCCTACATAAAAACTAAACAAGCAGCCTCCTATAATTCCCCATCCATCACCCTTCCACCCCAATTTACTTGCCCCTCTAGGCCTCCCCTCATCTTCAATCCCACAAAAAAACTAAACCCTCCTAACCGTACTCTTCCCCCCTCTTCTACCCTTAAGGAGCCACCTCCTGGTGGTACTCTACCCCCATCATGTTAAATATGTGTACACAACTATGTTTTTGGAACGTCCGTGGACTAAACGAAACGGATAAGCACAAACCTTTTGTTCGGTGGCTTTCTTATAACAAGCCTCTTTTTGGTGCAATTTTGGAGACTCATATTAAAGAACCTATGCTCAACTCAATCATGGCAAAGGTATGCCCCCGGTGGAAATTTACATCGAACCATTACTCTGACCCAGATGGTCGCATTATTTTCATTTGGCGTGCCCCTGTTTGTGTCACAATTCTTCATCAGACTCGACAGTCTCTTAAGGTTGATATCACCATCCCGAACCATCATCCTATCACCTTTACTTCAGTGTATGCGTCTAACTTGGAGGCGGAAAGAGTCGACCTTTGGGTGTATCTCATCAACATCCAGCAAACTCTGGATCTCCACTCTGAGCCATGGATTATCGCTGGTGATTTCAATCAAATAACAAGTCCGACAGAACACTCCTCACCTTCTGTCCAATCTATTTCCAATGATATGATTGAATTCAATGACACCATCCTCCAAATTGGGCTATTTGACCTCAGATTTCGGGGTATCTTAAATACTTGTTCCAACAATCAACTAGATTCTCCAATTGCAAAGAAGCTCGACCGTGCTTTTGTCAACTTTGAGTGGATTTCGGCTTATCCCAATAGCTCTGCTTCCTTCCTTGCGCCTGAATTCTCTGACCATACCCCCTGTCTACTGAACTTATCCACCCCTTTGCCTATAGCTGGAACCAAACCTTTCAAATTCCTAAATTACCTAACCAAGCACTCGCTTTTCCTTTCGGCTGTGAGCGAGGCCTGGATTCTTGCCGGAATCTCATCATCTACTCTCTCGGATCTCAGCTGGAAACTCAAAGGCCTAAAGAGTCCACTTTCAAAAAATAAATACCGAGAACTTTTCTAAAATTCAAGAGAGGGTTATTATTGCTAACAATTTGTTAAAAGATGTGCAGGTTAGGGCGCTACAACATCCCTCGGAGAAAATACTTTTGGAAGAACAATCTCTGCATGATAAATGGACTTTCCTCCGGAGTATTGAAGAAGCATACTTTAAGCAGAAATCCCGCATTAACTGGCTAAAGGAGGGAGATTTTGACACCTCCTTTTTCTACAGAATGGCTATAGTCAGAGCAGCATTCAACTCGATAAACTCTTTCATTCTACCTTGCGGGATGATTATCTCTGACCCTCAAGCAATGGCAACACTGGCAGTAAATCACTTCTAAGATATTCTTGCTCCTCAAACTCTGCCATTTGCCCCTGTCTCTATCAACTGGTTCCAAGACTTGCTCGCTTTCCGGTGCTCAGATGCTGATTGCCACATTCTCTCGTCCTTGCCGGAAGCCTCACTGATCACGAGCACTATCCTAAAACTCAACACCAACAAATCTCCAGGACCAGACGGCTTGAATTCAGGCTTCTTTAAAGCCACTTGTGGAATCTTAGGGGAAGAGGTGATCAGTTCTATTCTTCAGTTCTTTGTTACAGCTTTCATGCCAACTGCCGTTAACGCTACAATCCTCACAATGGTCCCAAAATTCCCTGGTGCTTCAGCAGTGTCGGAATACAGACCCATCTCCTGATGCAATACCCTTTATAAAACTGTCTCCAAAATCCTAGTCTCTAAGCTAAAGCCGATTCTCCCAGAACTAATTCTGCCCAACCAAAATGCTTTTGTGCAAGGGAGATTATTGGTTGAAACACACAATTTTGGCGACAGAATTAGTAAATGGGTACCATAAAACTACCGGACCTAAGAAGATTGTCATCAAAGTCGATATCGCCAAGGTCTTTGATACAATTAGTTGGAGCTTCGTTTTAAATTGTTTGTCATGAATTGGTGTCCCTAATTGCTTCATCAGATGGATTGAAAGTTGTATCACTACTTCATCCTTCACTGTCGGCTATAATGGAAGAGTTCATGGTTATTTCAAAGGGAAAAGAGGACTTCACCAAGGTGATCCATTGAGTCCCTACCTGTTTGTAATAGCCATGAACTGTTGTCTCTCAACACTCCTCAACAAAGGTGCAATGGAAGGAAGATTCAACTACCATGACAAGTGTGCCTCTACAAAGCTAACCGATCTTTGCTTCGCGGACAATCTCCTAATATTTACTGATGGGTCTGCAAACTCAGTTCATGGAGTTCTCGAAATTTTGGAGGAACTTAAACATCTTACAGGTTTAGCAGTGAGTATTCAAAAGACCGCATTCTACAGTTGTGGGTTAAATGATTCGGAGGTCAGTTTTATCACAGCTCAAACAGGCCTAGCTCATGGTTCACTACCTATCCGGTATCTAGAAGTCCCGCTATGTACTAAAAAGCTATCTATCCTCAACTGCGAACCATTGCTGCAACAAGTGAAGAGGAAAGTCAATACCTAGAGTGCGCAGACTCTTTCGTTTGCAGAAAGGCTGCTGCTTGTGAACACGGTCATTGCAGGGATTACAAATTTCTGGTGTGCTACTTTTGTGATCCCGAAATCTATCATAAAGAAAATACATTCAATTTGTGGAGCATATTATGGAAAAAATCAGCCGATGGACACAACTCAGCTAGAGTTTCCTGGGAAAAAATTACACTAAGCAAATCAGAAAGAGGATTGAATTGCAGGGACCTTGTAGTGTGGAACAAAGCATGTGTGTTAAAGCTCATCTGGATCTTATTCTGCAACTCAGGGTCCTTATGGGTAGCCTGGTACAAAAAGGAAGTTCTTAACGGTTCCTTAAGTAACTTTTGGACTAAAAAAACTAACCAGAAAATTTCTTGGTTTGCTAATAATCTATTACGCATGAGAGAGACAGCATACCAGTGGATCAAAGTCAAAATTGGGAATGGTGAATCAAATAGATTCTGGACAGATAACTGGTCCTTTTTTGGCAACCTTAAGGAGTATCTCTCACCTTCAGTCTCACGACGGATGGGCGTTCCTGCGAAAGCTACATTGAAAGAGATTAATGCCAATGGCAATTGGCTAATCCAATCACCAAGAACTGAGCAGCAACTCCAAATTCAGACGTACCTCTCTATAATTCAGCTTTCAGACGATGACGACAGATTTTAATGGATTGTTGATGGAAACCAATGGGACAAGTAGAGAACATGTTTTATCTATAACATTCTAAAAAGACATTCTGCACATGTACCTTGGTATCAGACTATTTGGTGCAAAGGAGGGATCCCGAAGCACAACTTTCTATCTTGGCTATTTGTTTTGAACCGGTGCCCTACTAGGGATCGGCTTATTGGCTGGGGACTAAATGTTGATCCTATTTGTCCCCTTTGCAACGCTGCTCTTGAGTCCCGTGATCACTTACTATTTGAATGTCGATACAGCTTGGAAGTTTGGTCTTCCATAGCGTCGAGGTGCTCCGTAACTACCCCGAGAAACTGGTCAAGCATCGTCCCCTATTTGAACTCCCTCTGACTTCCTAAACCTCAAAAGAAGCTGTTGTTGATTGCCTGGCAGTGCTCAATCTATCTACTTTGGAGTTTGGACTGAAAGTAACTCCAGAATCCATCGAGGTTGCTATCGTCCTCCACATTCTCTCCTCTCAAGTCTCAATCACATCATCAAAAATAGATGCTCCAGCATTCGATCTCAAAATCCGGCACAAGCTTATGCGATGATACAACTCTGGCTTCAATGATCTCTTCCGTATCCTCTTCCGTCTTCACCGATGATCAACTTCGCCTCCTTGCATGAGATGCTATTGGTTCCCGTCTTAACTATTATCGGGCTTACGTAATTTGTGTTGGGTTCTTTATAATCACTATCTTCTTAATTATGTGGGCCGATTGTGGCATTGCAGTAAACACTAAGGCCCAAGTGCCTGTTTTCTTTTTCTTCATGCATTTAATAGAAAGCTTTTTTCAAAAACAAAAAAACAAAACAATATTGTTGACCAGAATCTATTCACTGAAGGTCACCAGACATGGCCGATGGTATTCCGTTACATTCCAAGATCAGTGAAGTCACTTCTTTAGCAGATTTATTGTTCAAAACGATAATATATCCTCCTTCTAAGTCAAACCTCAAATCTTCAATGCACAGTTTTCTACGAGCTCACTTAGATGCTTCAAATTCACAACTTCCACTCCGTATACTTTCTTCACCTGTCATAAACCACCAACATTATCCCCCTCTTCAGCCAAACTTCACTTTGAAAATAGCCAATAGAAATGACTTACCTCAAAATCGTCGAAAAAGGGTAATCCTCATTGATGTCTTCCGACAACACCTGTTGCCAAAAATGTAATGCCAATATAATGAAGAAGTCTTATTACTAGCAGAAAAAGACAGACCACTAAGAATATTTCGCTTTGGGAGAGTTAGCTGATCCATACACCAAATCCCTCATATTTAGAATTTTTAATCTACAAACAAATCTCTTATCTATCTAAGGGTTTTTCATCATAAATATTGATTCAAAGTACAGATGACAGTTTCAATAATTGATCTTTTCAGTTAGCTAAGTTGATGTTGTTAACACCTCAAGATCCTAGCATACTAATTATTGTTATTCTTTTAATTAATTTATATAATTGTAGAAGATTTTAGGTTTAAAAAGACTCGAAGAGCAAATTAACACAAACCTGAGATATGATGACAATCTGTTCACCGTCCGCTTTGGCCTCCCTATTTAATGCACATTTACATATGGCACTTGATTTATCCACATACGGCTTAGAAAGCGACACAAAGACAAAACCAGCTACTATGTAATAGCTTGGTAGAAACTTGTATGGAACCAGCGGCTGCTGCTCCTGTGTTCAATATATACATATGATATTACTAGTAGACAAAGTCACATAAAGAAATAAGTAACAAACAATGTCACAGAAAAAAGTTGATAACTTACCGTGAAGTTTAAACTGACACTGAACACATGCTCTTTTCCATCCCTTAAGATTCTAACCAAAGCTGTTTTGCCAGGTTTCTTCATAGAAATCAAGTGATCAAAACTGAACAATTCCTTTTTCTGAAGATGACGAACTGTAAGAAGAATATATAAGAATTAAAATTCACCAACACACATGCATAAGATGATAATCAATAATATATATATATATATGTGCGTAATTGCTTACTTGTTCCATCATTATCGTCAGGAAAACCTTCAATTCCAAGTATGACGTCATGTAATTTCAGAACTTTGATTGCATTTGATAGTGGAACAAAGTTGATTATAAGAACACCAGTCATGTCATGACTCATTTTGAAATGTTTACGCAGTTGAGCATCTTCCATGGTTTGATACCATATATCAATGGAACCAAAGCTAGTCTGTCTTTCTTCAAGGCCATCCAGAAAACTTTTAATCACTGAAGCTGGGATTGTTTCGTAACCAAACCCTTGATATAAACCAACGATCTTGTTTCCCAGAAAGATGGGACCACGAGGGCTGCAACTGTCTTTATTAACTTGTATGGACAATGTGCCGTATTGATAGTCTCTTGGTGGATCAGAAGACGTTATAGCACCATCTACAAGCTCAATGGTATTATGATCTGCATTTGAATCATTCTTATGAGTATGGTATGAACTAAAATATTTGAAGTGAGACATAATAAAAATAATAATATATTTTTAAAGACCTAAACCATATGCCAAAACGGAGACAGTTTCGCCTATAGAGGGTAAGTCGTCATGGAGCTCCAAAGGATGTGTATGCTCCCAAAACTCATCGCAGTCAACAACTAAGGTAGCCAGACCATAGTCCTGAACAGCTGATTCGACTTTTGCTGTGTAGAAAGTGGATGAACCAAACTTTCTCACTCGAAAGGATGAATGATTTGCCCACAGTAAGACAGTGAGCAAGAATCCTCCTTCCAGAGATTATGAATCCTAAGTAAAATCCAAAATGAGATTAAGAAAAAAAAAAAGAATCCAAGTAAAATCCAAAATAAGATTAAAAAAATAATTAGAGAGATGTTAAATTGATACCAGATCCCCTCTCTTCTTTTATGTCACTCTTGTCCTAGGGTTGAATAGTGTTTGGCGTGGTGGCGAAGATCTGGACCAGGGAGTCTATGGTCGCAGCAATACCAAAGGGGCTCGTCCTTTGTGACAAAGTAGAAGAAGTTTGGCGACATATGGTGGAAGCATGAGAAGAAGGAAGTCCACCGGAATAGTTTCCTGTCGTTAGAGATAACGTTGGCAGTAAACTGTTCCACGGACGAGGACGGGGACGGAGACAGAGGAGAGGAGGAGGGGTGAGCCGAGTAACTGGAATGCTCGAGGGTTGCAGAACTTGGCCGCGGTAGGAATCAATTTTCCTGACGAAAGCGACAACATTTTCGAAGTAAACGACTAGACCTTCCACAAATTTAGTATGACTATCCAAATCCCTTATATACAATATTTTATATACTAAAACAAAAGTCACTGAACCAATAAAATTTTGACAAAATATTTTATATACTGAAAAATTGACTAGAATAAACCTTAAAAAGATTTTATCACAAATATAGAGCTTAACAATTAAAATGACTAAAGTAGTAATTAAATGTTTTATTAAATATATATTTATATCCTTGGGTTAACTAATCCTAGACTGAAAATATTTTATATACTGAAAAATGACTAGAATAGACCTTAAAAAGGTTTTATCACAAATATAGAGCTTAACAATTAAAATGACAAAATTAGTAATTAAATGTTTTATTAAATATATATTTATACCCTTGGGTTAACTAATCCTAGACTTTTTTGGTTTAGAGTTAAGTAGTGGGATTTTGAGAATGGAGTTTTGGGAATAGGGTTTCGAATTTTAAAAAATTAAAAAAACTTAAAATTTTCAAAATAGAAAATGCTATTTTTGTCATTTTAATTTTTGAGATATATTTTGTGATAAAAACTTAAAAGAAGACTATTTGAGAGAATTGCCCATCACTGAATCAACAAAATTTTGACATGAGGATTATCTAATAAAAATAAAAATAAAACCAATTATAATTCATTAAAAATCTATGTCATTTACAAAAGTAATTTATTGGAAAAAATAACTATCCTAACCTAAAGAAATCCACGAGACCACTATACCTAATTTCATGGCACAATTTCAACAGTTTTATTTTTTTATACAATTTTCAAGTAACAAATTTTTTTATGTATCTTGTCTCTTTTTCTTAATATTTTCATCTCTTCACCATTTTTATAGATTTGAATGTAGCAATAAAAAATAGAGCTTATGTTTTTTTATTCAATCCCTTTTTTTTCAGAATGATACTCTCCTATTCTTTTTTGTACAATTCATTTTGACATTTTTAAGGATTATTCATCATCGATGGAGAAATGGACAAGAAGTTGCGGCTGCACAAATAAATTTTAAACTCAAACTATAAAAATTGAGTAATTATTTTACCATTTTCTTTCGGTTAACGTAGAAAGTTTCAAATGCTACTGGGGTTTTTTTTATAAATGCTATCGTGTTTTGTTTGGGTAAATTTTTGTTATGGATATACAGCAAAAGAGAAATTAGAGATCAACTTGCCTTAAGGAACGTGAAGGTATATCAGTAGTGATGTATGGACGAGATCAAAGTAATAGTTGTAAACAATGGTATTTTAGATGAACGTGAAGGTATATCTATTGCTTTATGCAAATACAAATTAACACTCTTCTAGATATCTATTATATAAAAGAGAGCATCACTCCCTCTAAGGCTGTCCACCTCAGCGCCAGCGTGGAAAGGCCAGGTCAGCATCCGTTTTGGGCCAAAATCGTCTGGGCTTCAGTTGTTTACGTTTGGGCTTCAGTCATTTAGTCCACGTCAGATTGAAACAGAAATGGGCCTCTAATAACGTTTCTCCGTTAGGGTTTCACGAGTCTTCTTCTTCGCCTCTCGAGAACTTATGGCTATGGCGGTTTTCCCAGATGATGTTGTCTTCTTCGTCACATGATAATCATTCGTTTCAGTTATTAGGGTTTTGTTCATTCTAGCTGGTGGAGCTTGAGAATCGGCACCGTGTCTCTTTAAATCTCATCACCATCGCCGTTCGTCTCTGAAACGACTACATTAATCCAGCCATTAACAACTTATGCACCACTCCTCTCACTCTCTCGAATTAAATAAGCCATAGCTGAATCCAAGGTAACCTACTGAAGCTTCACAGCATCAATTCCATTACCGAAATCACAGGAACCAAAAAACCACAACAGGTTATGGTTTTCAAAAACATATCAAGCGAGAAGGCCCCCACTGTGCAGCATCTTATGTCACAACATCATCAACATCTCCACCATCACAAGAAGCTCTCATTTGCTAAATTTTGCGGCCAATCTATAGTGAATGGTATGTTCTGTTTGCTTTGTTATATTTTCACAGCCTTTATTACCTAATCAGATTTTCCCAACTTTGGTTTCTCTGAGATTGGATTCCTACTAAGTTCTTCCTGCAACTCTACAGCTTCTTTCGAGAAGCTCCAACTGAAATAATAAGCGAACAAAACTTTGATCTGCATAAGTTATATTCATATCGTGAAGTGAGAAACATAACTATTATTTCACTCTTACCTATGTAGTTATTGAACCAGTGTTTGATTCTCTAATCCTAACTTCTCTTTAGTCTCTAAAGATGAAACAACTAATAGGTGGTGTGCTATGTCTCATGCTCCAAGTATTACCAAAAACTTCAGAGGGGGTTCTCATCCTTCACATGTGCAGCCTTCCAGATCAAAACGTGGTTGGGGTTGTAAGGCAAGCCACACTGAACTCTTCTTGATTAGCCCTTTCCAACTGGTTCCAATGCAACCCTCATTACCATAACGGCTAACAATGGTCTTTGATTTTGACAACTAGGTACCAGATTGAAATGTCAATAAGCGATGCATCTGATACTGCAATGTTATTTGCTTTTGATGGTGAAATGAACAAGTTGACAAGTGTTCCTGCTGTAGCAGTTTCACAGTCCATGGTAACATATCTCCCCGTTGAAGGCCATCAGAGAGGGTACTGAACCAAACGATCTCCCCTTTGAGACTGAGCTACCTTCTAAGGAGTCCTAAGCTGTGAAGGTTGATGCTTGGCGAAGAAGACACGCAGTGGGGAAACTTGAGAGTTAAAATTTTCGTGTCACTATTGTTACTTCAAATTCTGCTTTACGATCATGTTTTCATTTTTAACACGACGATCATTTGTTTTTAAACTTCTTTTAACATAAAAAGTCCCACTTGAGTGCATTGTTCTGTTTTTAAAGAATAATTTATTTGTTTAAGAGTTACATACCCAACAAGTAATCTATGCTTATTTAAAAAGTGACTGAATCTTATGTTGATCGTATTGAAATTAGTTCATGTTTCGATATTGGCAACAAGCTATTAAATAAAGGACCACTATCCAACATTCAAAGCCTGCAAATATTTTCCTTTTAAACATAACAAGACGAATACATCTCGCGCCACGGTTTTAGACCAAATTATTAATGAACTCACAAGCAACAAAAGGTACTACGATTTAAATAACAAGTACCTACAGGTACTGTGATTTAAATAACTCAGTCGTTCTATACGGTCTGATGGTTAGGTTTCTTCAGAATAATAAAGACATCTGATGGTCAAAATCTTATAGTTCACAAGTTCTTAATTAGACAAATTATGAGCAAAAACAATCCGGCGGTTAATTAAACAGCTATGCTAATATTTACATGCTGAGCATTAACACCACTCACCAAAGATGACTCATGTTATACAAGTAGCTTCACATTCCATATTGAGACTTTTCCCTATCCAAATCATTTTTAACGCATAATATTTCAGATATTTTAGTTTTACAACAAATAAACCTAAAACAATTCAATAACACAAATATCATTAGACCAAGAACCCCAACAAATTAAGTAAATAATGTAGTCACGGTATACGCATAACCAATAGCATTAGACCAAGAAACTCGATGAGCCAGCACAAAACGAACTATATATTATTCTATAGGATTTATAAGACATAAAAAAAATTAATTACCTTAGGAAATTCTATAGGATCTTAAAATTATGGTTAACCATCCACATACTATGAAACTACATCATATACACAAACTTTTACATTTAAAACAAATACTAAATTCTAAAACAACATACAATATAGTTACATACATGCTGCCACCGTGTACTTTAAATATGTACTCTACTAAAACTTGAAGAAATTGAAATTCTCAGGATCTAAGCATTTATTAATTTCATAAAAAAAAATTTAATAAACTAATTAAATGTTTTTAAAATCCAAAAATACAAATCCCGCGCCGCAGATTTCCCCTAGAACATGGTATTAGTTAGATGAGAGTAAACGCTTTTCTTACAAGTGGTTTTATAATAGAGGTGACAATGAAATTGATATACCCTCATAAATATATGTGATTTTATAATAGAGGTGACAAAGAAATTAATAAACGAGATTGTATGTAAAGTAAACAAATAATATTACTTACAATGTGATCTATCCAATATTTCTCTATACAAAAATACACCATAATAAAATCATACGGTATGTAAATATATCAAAAAGTCACAAACAATACGAAAATTCATAACCGAGATCATATATAAAGTATAACCCGCCCGTAGGGCGGGCCGGTCCTAGTACTATCTATGGTAGTGTATTGTAACAAGAAAATGTAGTCTTAATTAATACATTTTACAGAATTCTTGCCCATACGTAATAGTAGTATGGGACTAACACTATGTATATACTAAATTGCAAGTCACATCTTGAATAAAAAAATTGATATGTTGAAACTATTTTATTATTTACAGAAAAAATGAAAATACAAAAAGAAAAAAACTTAAAAGTAGAAAAAGGAAAAGAATTACAGCTATAAAATAAAATTTTAACACACAAAAATCTCTAATATTTGTCCCACTACTTCAAGATAACACACAGGATTTCGTAACTGTTACTTTTCCTATTGAGGGCTTGAGGGTTTGACTCATGATGCTATACGTTTATTTCTCCATAAATGTTTTTTGAGAAACTTCATTTCAATATACATTCAATGTAATTTTCTATAATTGTTTTTAAATTGCTCCATTGATCTTTCCTGTAAAAGAGTGATGATATATCAGTTTCTAACAATACATATCGATGGCTTCTGATGATTCTCTTTGAGAGATTTTATTTTTTAAGATTAAAAAAAAAAAAATCAAAGTTTTATAAGGTGAAGCTTTGGTGAAAGGTTGGCAAATGAAGATTAAATCCAGGTTAATAAAACTAAATACTTGCAAACTCTTCAATACTTAAATTGCAATTTGAATCATGTTGACTTTTTCATGGATCTTTATCTCCTCTAACGTACTTATAATAGTATCCTTTTAACATTATACATTTGATCAATATCATTTTTAAAATAGACTAAATTAATTTTCAGTTCGCTAGGCAATGTTTATTGACAGTGGTGATGATAAATCGATGAAAGAAAGTAAGAAGTTCATCTTAAAGCAAATTTACAAGGCTCCTAATAAACAACTACAAGAAATAAAGGGTGCAGTGATAACTCGAAGACAAAAAATGTTTGGAGTCATGTTCACTCTCTAGATTAAACCAAACATGAGGCTGGTTCTTCTTATTTTAAATGTTTTATATAGAGATATACTATTTCTATTAAATTTTTGATTATACACTTTTTTCTATTTTCTTATATATAATATTAATAAATTTTGCAGATTTTTCACAAACAAACACTTCGAAATAAATAAATCATTCAAAATGAAAAAAAAATAACAACACTTTCTTTTCCTATCTCTCTTTTCCATCTCTCTAAAAAAAACTAATTTTCCTTCTTGTTTTTATGGCTATTCGACAAAATAGGTCCCTACAATATATTCATTCGGATAATCCACCGAAAACTGGATTTCAATTTCCCAAAAAAATCATTAGTTATAAAGAATTTATAAGAAACTAAGAAGAATTGAAGAGTACCATAAGAAAACTAGAGATATTGATTTCATAAGTAAAGCTATGATATTACTTTAGAATGGATATTTAATTTTCATACATATATAACTGATATTAGAGAATATAATAAAATGAAATAAATAAATTATATAGCATAGTCAAGATTGACTTATTTTTGCAAAAATATGTTTTTTTGTGTCAGTCAAAAAACATCATTTTTCCTTCACAATCAGCAATTATAGCTGATTAAAACTATGGACTACAATAATCTAGTTATGATTATAATCAGGACTGGGTCAATTATTTTTTTGGTACGCTCTAGGATAAGAAAATACAAATTTTAAACTTTTTTAATAAAGCTTATTATTAATATTATAAGTATATTTTATTACTTAATAATTTAGCATGAAAACATAAATGTATTCATATAAGATATATTTTGGACCGTTTTTCTTATACAATTTTACTAGGATAAGATCCGCGCCTTCCGCGGGATGAAGTTATTATTTTTATTATGTTTTGGAAAATGAAACAAAAGTTCGGTTTCATCTAGATTAAGGATGTTCAATCTGGATATCGGGTTTCGATATTTTGGTTATTAAAATATAACTACTATTCTAAATCCATATTTACTCCAATTTGATTTGGTTTATATATTGGTTTTCAGTTTATTCAATTTTATACCAAAATACATCATTATTTAGTTTGAAATCATATTATATATTATAAAAATAAATAATATGATCATATTTAGAGTCATATTGTCAAAAAGTCATTTACTAAAAAAAATATTATATATTTAACTAAAAGAATAAAAAACAAAAAAACGGCTTCTGTGATCTTATAAAATGATCAAATCTAGAATTAATATCAAATCTCTAAATTTTGAAAATAAAAATAAAAACAAAACAGAAGCATGAAAGAAAAGTTTTTATATTCTTCCATATTTAGTGTTCATCAAATTAATATGTCTTCGATTGAACACAACTTTGTTTGTTTAAAGATTAAAAAAAATTGTAAAGAATTTCAACTAATTGTTGTACATCAAATTTTAATTCTTCAATTTAGTTTTTATTAAAAAAAAAAGATAAAAAAACGAAGAAAATAAGAAGCCTCAGTTGCATTAAATTGTTAGTTAATTATATTTCAAGTGATTCAAGTGATTTACAAATCATAATTATAGTTTCACTCATGTAACAAATAGATACACATATTTACATGTTTCAGTTTAATCGATTATAAATCAAACCATATCTAAATCTTACGGTTTTTATAAAATCACATACATTCGATTTGTATGGTATATACCAAAAATAACCATATTATCGATTGTGTTAATATATTTAAAAAATAGAAAATGAAAAAAAGAACTAATATATTTAAATCATTGATAACAAAAATTTTCAATGTGAAAAATTTAATACGTTTATAATTTATACATGTTCTTGAAAATTCATTGAAATTTTTGAAATTAAAATAAGTATGTAATCTTATATGGTATATAGTTTAATCTCTATATATATACATTTTTTTATTATTGAATGATACATTCTACTCATATGGTTTTAAAATCATGTGTATCTTTTTATAATAAAAATGTTAAACTATTGATCATTAATTTTTAACATAATAATTTTAATATTTTTAGTCATTTATTATTGGTTTTTTATATTCAAAATATAACATATACGAAAAAAAATCTAAAGTTTAAGTTTATAGCTAATTTGATTATTTGATTTATTTTAATAATATAAAATTAAAGAAAAATGATGGAGGAGATACAAATTGTTATCAAATATTTATTATTAGAAACATTAATTATCATATATATATATATATATATATATATTTGTCATTTATGGTAATTCCGTAGCTTTTAAGGAAAGAAAATAAAATAGTAATTATATATAGCAAGACAATCATAAATGTTTCTATCATATAGTTTGACCAACAAATATATCTAGCGACATATAAAAATCGAATGTGGACCTACTTATTTTTCAATTGAATGTAATTGACTACCTAATTGAGTGATACGTAAGCATGAGCTCTTTTTTTAATTATTACAAAATTGAGATTACGATTTTTCAAATGTTTCTCAATTAATATATAGGGGATATTAAAGTACGTATTTGTATAAATTAGATAACTTTCTTTTTCTTCGTGACAACAGATTGTTAAGGTAAATATATTTCCAACATAAAATTAATTGATTATAAATGCATTTTTTGATCAAGACTGCACCATATCATGCAAAGCAATACATTCATGCACCATGTCATGAAAAGCCAATTCATTTTTCCTATAGACAATACATTCATATGAAACAGAAACAAGTTTTATTCATCCAATATGTAACGTAGTACATAGAGAATCAAAGTGACGAAAAGAGCAAACTTATACTTTAAACAAGCATACAAGGATCAGTCATTTGCCCTGAACAAGAAGTAGCTCATTCACAATTTTCAAGCAAACCAGTACCCTTGAATTTCTCTTCCATTATTCCATCCATACGAGCTGCCATCTCTGGAGTCAGATAATTTTCCCAATCTCCAGTCTTTCCATTCCTGAAATACGTGCTGTTTGAATAAGGAGAAGGATGATCTTCTCTCTCCTTATCTCCTTTGTTAACTTCAAGATTCTTCATTGTCTCGAAGCTGCAAAGATTCACAACTTTCTCAACAACCCCACTCTTCTCTTCCTCAGCTGTGAATCCAAAACCCATGAACTCAGCCAATCTCTTCACATAAGGCAAAGGATCAGCACTCAGACACTCGTACTTAAGGAAAAAAATCTTATCTGGATTCTCTTGGTGAGCTTTCCAATAGCCTAACACATGATCAAGATAAGGACCGTTCGCAGAAAGACCTTGGCAGAACATATCAAAACACTCCTCAAGACTATTGAGGGGGCCACGTATTAACCTTAGCTTTTGGTTGAAATTCCAAAGGGAGATGAAAGTGTCCTTTGGGTCTCTCCAGATGTAAACCATCTTACAACCCGAGTTCACAACCGAATCGGGTAAACAATCGTGTGGCATATGAGTTGAAAACAGAGTGTTCCCTTTGTCTTTGATAACATCAATGTGAGGAAACAAAGGGAACTCGATCTCGATGAAAGGAATAAGCTCGTGAGCGTTACGCGAGAGGAGAGGGTTCGTGGAATCATCATCAAAGCTAGATCGGTTGGCTATTACGAATGCTAGTGATTTGAGCCAAGTGGTACCTGTCTTTGGGTAACTACAGACGAGGATGTCAATGGGTCGGGCTTGGAAGAACTCTTGCGCGTAAAGGGTACCTTCAAGGAAAAATTGTAACCACCAGTGACCACCGTACCCAATCAGGGGAGCTTTCGACCTCCAGCCTTTAACGTGAGGCAACGTGGAGATCAGGTCTTGGTACCGTTCCTTATTCCTCTCGAACTCTGTTGGCTCTGTCTCGTCATGGTTTGCCACGGTAGTGTCGGTTACAGCTTCTGTTGCCATTAGAGATAGAGGAAGATGTTTTTCTGATTGGTCGTTGACTCGTTGTTTGGACATTATTGGATCAGAGCGGGCTTTTTATATAAGAAACAACGATAGGGACATTAAAGTTTGTTTCTTTAATTGCTCCCTTAGTCGTTAAATTAAATTAATTCTAATTATGTTTTTTTTTTTGTAATACACCTGCTTTCATTACAAAAGACTAATAATACGAGTATTAAGATAGGCTGGCCACTAGCCACGTGCTTCATGTGTTTGTACCAACTACCAAGGACCGGATCCAATAAAAGTTTGGTAATCAAGCTAATTTTGTTTATCCAGGCGAAACATTTATAAGTATGTTGATTTGTCATGATGTACAATGGTGCCATGGGTTATAGGTCCATGATCATGATGGCAGTGATATTTAGCATACATGCTGCAGATTTTTTATGCTTAATTCGAAAATTAACATAAAATTATTGATAGAAGTTATAGCATAAAGTATGTCAGGAAATACAAATGGCATATACATCAAAATAAAATAGATAGTTAATATTATAATCAAATAAATAAAATATACACTAAAATTTAGTATTTAAAATATTCTTATTTACATTGATATCGGTTATAAAATCATCTAGATTTATAATAGGTTACACAAGTTTCTTTTAAAAAATGTTGATTTTAGTTTTTTTATTATCGACTCAATTCATTCTTGGGTTTACAATAAGTGTACAAATTTTTCTTAAAAATAAATGATGGCATAACTAATTCACTTGTGTAAAACATATTTGTAAACTAGGTTATTTATGCTTCTTTAAATTGTCTTTTATCAATCAAATGAACTAATATATTTATTTACTCATCAATAATCTTTACTCACACTATTGTTCTTAGATCGGTCCATACAACTCCGGTTAGCTCTCGAGCATCACAGTTTCTCTTGTAACCTCTATTTCTCGATCAATAAAACTCTTCATTTTCTAATCCTTCATTCACACCTTCGAAATAACCCAACCACGAGTTTCCGTCGATCATTTAGAGCATCTCCAAAAGACACTCTATAACTTCAAATATGAAGTTTTTGTCTCTCCAAAAAGGAACTCTAAAACTTTAAATTTGAAGTTTTGAGTAGTGAAACTTCAAATATAGAGTGTCACTATTCAAAACTTCAAATTTGAAGTTTCATATTTTATTTACATTTTGGTCCTTACAATTACACATCCTATTTATAATAATCTTAAATATTTATTATTTATCATTTTAATCCTTAAAATTATTATTTCATAAATAGTTCAAAATTATTTTTATAAATTTAAATTTTCTATTTAAGAAAAGCATCAAAATAATCTTTAAAATATTTTAAAACTAGAAGTAGACAACAACAATATTACGTGATATAATGTGGTATTTTTTTGTACTTTAATATTTAACTATATATTTCTTTTATAGTTTTATATTTTATTGTAACATTTTATCAAATGATATTTCTATAATATTTTTATACATGATAGTTATTTATAAAAGTTTATGAATTTGAATTAGTTATGACAAATATAAGGACCATTATATAAAATACAAATAATTTTAAAGTTAGGTTTGTAGTTTTGCTTTTGGAGTATAACACCTTCAAACTTCAAATATAGAGTTTTGCAAACTCTATAATAGAGAGTCTTTTTGGAGATGCTCTTACTTGTTATCACCAAACTCGGTTCAAACAATAGAGATGTTTTGTGTCTCTTTAAGATTTTTTCTGGTTTGAAAGAAAGTAAGATTGCATAATCTTTGTGGTTCTTTATTGCCTGTTTTTAAAACAGAACAAGCTTCTCTTTTATAATGTTTCAGAATAAACACAATTTTTTACTCAAAGGAAGATGAAACAATTCTTGAATTATAAATAAAACATAATAAAAAAGAGTCCACAAAAACAAAAGACACAAGGTATAACTCGAAGATCCTCAAAAAATAAAAATAAAAACCTTAAAAATATTGAAAAGATCTCACCACGAAACACGAATCTAGAGCGACGTGAAACCGAATACATCAATCTCGAAGGGGCAATCGTCAATATCATACAGATAGTAGTCAGGATGGTAGCTGGCAGGGAAATAATTGTCTTCATCTGACGTGAAATCATACGGATAAGAGTCATCATCTTCAGGGTAATCATCTCCAGATGAATCTGTATCATAAAAAAGTACATCATATAGATAATCATGGGTCGAGTCATTAGGACGTCTCAAAACTTTAATCCTCTCAGAACATTGCTTCTCCAGATCTCCGACAAAATGAACGTTGAGACACTGACGTAAATCAAGATGTTCCAGGTTAGGGCAATTATCAAGAATGACTTTTAAACCAGTGTTTGCTAACAGGTTTCCAAAAAGCTGGAGGTTGCGAAGTCCAGGCATTGTTTCAGCGATTGCTAGAGCATCATCATCACTCACGTACCGAGGACGCCTGTATCCCAGGCGATTTAACTTTAGAGTCTTCAGATTAGGACAATACTCTCCTACAACCTTCAGAGACTCTCCTGACAGTTAGCAGTATGAGACTTCGAGTTCTTCAAGCAATGGAAGCTTCACAAGTGCTCTGGTAAGACCCTCATCTGTAAATAGATCGCACTCTCCAAGACTAAGGCTTCTCAGGTTACTTGAGCTGCAAGTTTTCATGTAAAAGTTAAAAAAAAAAACTGAAGCAAACGATAAGAAGCAAAACACATTTACAAAATAACTTTTCCTATAACCTGTCGGCGATGTAGTTGAGGAGAGAATCAGTGCCGAAATACGAAATGTCAATCTCAACCAAACCTCCCTGGCTACGTTCGACTGCATGACGGCACATTGTCACGTATTTCGGGTCGTACACCAAGTGTCCTAGGCTGCTACCCATGTCAATCTTTCGCCACACCTCAGGGGCTTTACAGACGCGACGCCATGTTGTACACACTTTCTGAGCGCTTTCCAATATGTCAACCGCGCAGAGCCTTCGAAGGATAGATGAAGTCAACTCAGACGGAAGCTCCGACCAGTTTCTATATTCGCCGTCTTTCATCACCGGAGTAAGAGAGGAAGAGGCCATCTTTGTCTGATGATCAAAACTCTTTCAGGTCCATCTATTTGAAAAAAGGGAGTGAAGGAGTTTAAAGTTTCAAGACTTTTCTTCGTAGACATCAACACCACTCAATGACAATATGGTGGTCCCAAGGAAGATGGCAACGGCTAAGAGGAAGAGACCATTTTCTCTAAATAGTCAAACTGCTTTAGGTTCATTAAATAAGCGTGTGAAGCCAGCAGTTTCAACTTTCAAGACTTTCCCTATATACTCAAAGGACTATTATATTCGTGGTAGGCCTGGGCGTTCGGTGGCCCATTTGATTTTGGTCCGGATTATTTGGATTTTCGGATTTTCGGTGTTAGGCTCACAAGTACCATTCGGTTTTTACTAATTATCGGATCGGTTTCGGTTCGGTTCCTTCCGGGTTCGATTTGGATCAGATCTAACCAATGTTTATAATCGTCTAAAAATATATTTTTTAGAACCTTGAAAATTGAAAAAAGGTTTCAAAATATATAAATTATTTACTAATCTAATTAAAAATTAGTTAAACTATCAAAATTAACTAAAAAGAATTCAAAATCTATAACATTATTTAAGAAGTAAATTTGCTTAGTTGTCAACTTCTTTATGATTTTAGGTTATTTTGCTTATTTTCATGTTTTAATAATTTATTATATAATAAAAACGAATTTATGTTAATAATATTATATTTTTAGAAAATATGTTAATTCTTTTGTATTAGATTGTTATCTTAAAAATATATTTTTCATCTATAACATTATTTGAGAAGTAAATTTGCTTAGTTGTCAACTTCTCTATGATTTTAAGTTATTTTGCTTATTTTCATGTTTTAATAATTTATTATAAAATAAAAACGAATTTATGTTAATAATATTATATTTTTAGAAAGTATGTTAATTTTTTTGTATTAGATTGTTATCTTAAAAATATATTTTCAATTATAAAATTTAAGTGAATTTGTTGATTAATTTGTAATTTTCACGTTGAAAGTTAGAGCGGTTAATATCGTTTATATCCTTAATGAATAATTAAAATTTTTAATATAATTAAACATAAATAAAAACGAATTTCAATGAGTTTAGATTTATCTTTATCTAAAACTATTTTATATTGGGTTATAAAGTCTTTATTAACCTTGAAAAATAATTATATTAGTTACTATATAATTAATTATAAATTAAAAACGAATTTCATTTATTTGATAATTATCCTTATTTTAATTTTTTTATATTATGGGATAAAGTCTTTATTTTGAAAAATAATTATATTTGTTAACATATAATTAATTCTAAATTAAAAAATGAATCTCATGAATTTGATAATTATCTTTACCTAACTTTTTTATATTGTGTTATAAAGTCTTTATTAACGTTGAAAACTAATTCTATTTGTTAATATATAGTTAATTATGAAAAATAAATTCGCAAATAATTTATGTATAGATAATTTATATTGTTATATCCAAAAAATTATTAAAGATAATTTTTTATACTTTTTTGTTATGTCTAAAAATGATATTAATTTATTACTAAATGTTTTAAGATCATGAGTATTTTCAAATATAAGTTGTGTAATGAAAATTATTTATATGATGATGAAAAATTTTATATATAGAAAGAATTTGTTTAGTTTATTATTAAATACTTTGAGTCTATGAACTATAATTTATTATAATTTACATAAATTGATTATATATTTATTTATAGATATTAGTAAAATTATTAAGCCCGCAAGTGCGGGCAAAACACCTAGTAACAAATAAAACAAACTACAAAAAATATTTTGAATACTCTAAAATATCTAAATCACCTTAACATATATAAAAATATTAACCTATTTAACTAATTTCGGATATCTTCGGATCCTAATTCGGATTTCGGTTCGGTTCGGATTATAACCATAATCCAAAGTACTTAGCTCATAAGTCCCGTTCGGATATTTTTGTAAACCAGTTCGGATTCGGTTTCAGTTTTTCCGGTTCGGGTTAAGGTCGGTATTTCAGGTTGTGTTAAAAACGCCCAGTCCTAATTCATGGTTTACGTATCTACAAGACTACGACATAATTTAAGGCAATGTAATTATGATTTGGCGGCCTGTTAACTTTTTTAATATCAAGATATCATAATTTTATTACAAACAAGTTCTTGGAAGTCAGATTATCAAAGACTGAGTGGGTTCTTGGGAGATTAATTTGAGTAGAACTTGTACATTTTAATAGTTTATAGATTTTAAAAGTTATGTAGTTTCAAAATATGTATACAGACTTATAAATCTGATCCTAACTTTTTTTAAGTTGCTACACATATTCATGAATTTATATTAGGGAAATAAGAGCACATATACATAACAACACACATAAATTAAGTTTGTACACATAACAAACTTTAGGCTAGAGTTTTCTGTGTATTTTATATAATATTACATTAACTACCCTTGCTCAACCACGACCGTTTGATCATATATTCGTTTTTGTTTTTTCTTCTTTTCCCCATACCAATCTTATTTGATATATATCTTTTATATCATATATAATTCAACTAAATAATTATGTTCACAAAAATATACAGATTTTTCTACACATGTTATAGCTAATTTTTTTTTTAAATAGATTTGTTAAAAACTAATCATATTAACATGGAATCGTACACATGATTATCCAAAACAATGTTTTATCAACAATTATAGTATACTATTCTATTTAGCACAATAGTATAATTGTTTTCTCATCTTTCTCTTCCTCATTTTCCTTCTTCCTCTCTCTTTCAATCTTTCCATCCTCCCCCTCTACCTTCTCTCTCCCTCCCTAAACAATGTTAAAAACAATTTTTTTTTTAAATGGATTTGTTTAAAATTAATCATATTAACATGAAATCGTACACATGATTATCCAAAACACTGTTTTATCAATAATTATAATATACTATTCTATTTATCACACTAAAATAATTTTTCTTATCGATCTTTCTCTTCCTCATTTTCCTTCTTCCTCTCTCTTTTTATCTTTCCATCCTCCCCCTCCACCTTCTCTCTCCCTCCCTAAACCCCCTCCATCCTTCACTCTCTCTATATATCTATCTCTCTCTCTATATCTCTCTCTCTCTCTGTTGGGAAAAAGATCCCACATTTGAAATATAAATGGGACATGAGTAATAAATAAGGGACTTGAGCCAATCCACTAATTGCCAATTGGTTTTAAATTGGAACCCTAAGAATCTTATCATGGTATCAGAGTGGGCCCACACCCTGACCCATTAATCCGGCCCGGAAAGTGGCCCGATCAACCCATTAGCTGATGGCTCAGAGAAGGCTCAATTCTATCGAGATTGCTAGAAGAAAAAAAAAGCATTGTCTCGGTAGGGGTATATGATGGATTCTCGCCAATTAGTTTTAAGTTGGAACCCTAAGAAACTTATCATGGTATCCGAGTGGACCCACACACTGACCCATTAATCCGGCCCGGAAAGTGGCCCGATCAGCTCATTAGCTGATGGCTCAGAGAAGGCTCAGTTCTATCGAGATTGCTAGAAGAAAAAAAAAACATTGTCTCGGTAGGGGTATATGATGGATTCTCACCAATTAGTTTTAAGTTGGAACCCCAAGAAACTTATCATGGTATCAGAGTGGGCCCACACCCTGACCCATTATAACTAAAAGCTAGACTTTTGACCCGCGCTTAGAAAATGCGGGTACCATTTTTGTTGTTTTATCTAGATAATCATTTGCTTTGATGATATAAAATGTCACTATCTAATATAACTTTATAAAAATAATTCAGATTTTAATTTATTGTTATCATCAATATCTATGTAAATGTATTGTATGTAATAGTGTACTATTTATATGAAAAAATAATATCATTTAACTATGCTTGGTGCTGGGAAGCGGGTCAAGGTCGCCCCGCAAAGAAAATATATTTTATCCGCATCTTCCTCACTTAATTTTGTGGATAATCTGCAAGACCCGCGGATAATTATTAAATAATAAAAATAATTATTTTTATTTCTTTTTCTAAAATATAATATGAAATAGTATATTTTTAATTAAATTTTTAATATTTTTAAAAATATATAATTATTTTAACAAAATTTAATATATTTTTGAAAAAAAAACGTAAAAAAAAAACTATTTGTGCGGATTACCGCATATCCGTAATTGAAATTAGAATAACCCGCACCCATCCCGCGTAAAATACACTTAACCCGCACCCGCAACTTAAATTTTTCGAATCGATCGACATGTTCGTGGCGGGTCAACCTGCGGGCTAATATCTAAATTCCCAGTTCTAACTACGCCAATTAAGGCTGATGTGTTTATTTTTGAAAGAAACTTCATAAATAATTAGAAGGTGAATTTAGTCCATTAATAAAATACATTATTATATTGTTTTTAGGCTCAAAAACCAAAAGACTATATTGCCACTAATGAAAATAAAAATTTATTTATATCATTAAGGGTAATTTTAGAAAACATAAAAGACTCGAATGATCATCTTTTAATGGTATTGATGTAGAGAATTCATCTAACACTAGATTTGATTAGAATTAGATAATCAGTAATAACTAATTTTTTGCATAACAAAGAATTTGAATGGATTTTAAAAACTCTTATACCAATAGTAATACATTTTAATAACATCTCAAAATGTAAAAATTTCGAAAGTTCATAAGAATAGTAATAACCTCGAAGAAACATGAACAATCACACACAGAAACTAGTTATTAAGTGTAAGTATTGTAAGAAATAAAACAAACCCTTGTGAGAAGCTTTCAAAGTTCAAAGGAAATAATGAGATGAAAGACTATAAACAGAGAGAGAAGGGGAATCTAAACAAGTGGATAAGTTGACAAAGCGAGCGAAAACCACATATCCTCTGCATTGTTCAGTATCTAATAGACTTATTAAAACTCATCCCAATAACAGTCGTTGGGGCTTGAATCTCCTATTTATTAAAAGAGGAACATTTTTAAAGAATAACCTTTAGCTCATGTATTGATAACAAG